CATGCAAGAAATATACGTCACGCGAGCAATTCCACGTAATAATTGTGATGACTGTTTTATATACAATTTTCAATGCAATATATGTAATTGCAGAATATTTATACTTTCGTATGATATACTACCTTTGAAATATAATCCCAATCATACGGCGATGTTTTCAATCGTTTACAATGCGGCTATTATTGCGACATGTATCAAAAAAATACAAGCGAATTGTCTCAACAACAAGAACTCCGCATTTCTTTCAATTGTCTGAGCTCATCCCGAATGAGAGATTGAATAAAATCAATCTCGAAATGACAAAAAAGAGAGCTCTTTTTGGAAGAAAATTTCTTACTGTCAGATTTGCGTATAAAATCAAATTGCAAATATATAAATAAATATATCTATTATTAAAATGATAGGAAACATAAAACAGTATTCAATAACATTGATGCAGCAAGAAATTTTGTCGCATTCATATTTTAGTACTGTCTTTCTTATACGCAAATATTATATTTATTTAAGAAAATATAAAATCTTGAAGAAAAGGTACTCAAATCTACGAGACTCGATGTTAATATCATAACTGATTTTTTATGCAAACCTAACAACAAAAAGTTTATCTCGTTCTAATTATTTTATAACAGTAAAGAAGGAGAGGAATCGTAGATATAGAAATGAACAATCCATTTGGTGTCAAATTTAAGAATTAATGCAGTTAATCACGTAATTTTAGTGTTAATTATATCAGAATAGTCTGTGGAAAAAACATAATTTATATTAATTTATAATTTGACAATGCCAGAATCGAATTTGTACCCCCGCTGAGTCCTCTCTTTCTTTCATACGTTTTTCCTTTTCGTTTCCAATCTTATCGATATCATATCACGTTTGTCACGGTTGTTGCCACATTTGCACTCTAATAATAATTATTAGCAGTATTATTTGTAACAATGGGTCGGTAATGTACGTACTAACAATAACTATAATAATAATAGTAATAGTAGTGATGGTAATAGTACCCAGTAAACAAACTGTCCGCAGTATAGTAGCAGATTGATAGCAAATTTAATTGGAAATTGTTAGCGAATTGGCATTACTTATGTTCGCACTAGTCTTGTATTTTATCAACTAAATCTGCTGACGTAACTAGATAAATCGGTGGCAGAAATTAAGTAGAATCTTTTAAATACTTTAATTGTGTTTTCAATATGCAATAAATTATAATAAAGTAAATCAACGTCTGCTTGATTTCAGCTGTCAATCTGCCATATATGTTATTGATGAGTATTGCTATAGTTCTGTCTTTCTATTATCGTTTTGCCAGCAGTATTGGGTATGCCAGATCCGTAACTTTTTTACCAACAAAATTTGCAAATTGGCAGAATTTGTTTTTGCGACAGACTGTTTAGTAGCGGCCCATATGTCAATGATGATAATGGCAACGACAGGATGTAACAGCGGTATTATAAAGATAAAGATGATCGCTTTGTAGAACTGCTATAATGCGTAGTTTATATTGATCAAGCTTGCCTACTTCATCTAATTTCTTTTCATATTTTTGTCAATAATCCATCTACTTTCTCATATGTTATATGTTATTGCTCATTCGTTATGTTTGCCGGCTGCTGTATATAATGTTGCCATTATTATTACTATTATTATTAGCATCAGTATTATAGAGGATGTTCGATTGTTATAAATTTAAGCGCATGATAGTTGCTATAAAATGTTCTATTCTCTTAAAAATATCATGAATAATTTCTAAGTTGTAAAAAGAAATTTAATGAATTTTCCAAATGAAATATTCCTTATTTTTAAGAATTTTTTTCATATTTAAAAATTTTCAAACTTCTCCAGATTTTCTAAGTTTTCTTCAAAAATTACAGAATAAGAAATCTTAGAATATTTAAAAAATTATAACGTGAAACATAAAAAAAAACCTGAGAAGTCTTCTAAAAAATTGTAAAATTTATATGAAAGTTCTGCAAAGTTAGTTCTGCGAAGAATTTTAAGAAAATTTTTTATCAAGATTATTTCAATTTGAAGTATGGTAACATAACTTTTTAAAATTATGAAAAGAACGTAAAATTTCGTCAATGAAAGAATTTTGTCAATGAAAATTTCAGTTTCCGACTGAGACTATCGTCCACCATAATGCATTCTCATTACCGAACATCCTATATTTACCGAAGACTTATTTATTACCGAACATTTCTCCCTTCTATCAATCGCGATCAAAAGAGCAACAACGAATTATTAAGGATCGATTTTCCCAACATCGATCAACTGATTTCTTTATCTATATTGCAATCAACATGCGCATTCTAAAACGAGATAGAGAGATACTTATCTGGTTTGGTAAATTATATTATTAAACGCTTTACATGAAGGTGCAACAACCGACCCTAATTGAGCTATCGAATTTAGCATTACGCTCAATTATTATTGCACAAACACGCACAAACATACAAAGCATTCACGCAACATACAAACAGCGATTATTGTACGCTCAGGTGACTTAGGCTTAAACTGCACTTATTGCAAAGTTCTGCGAAACAGAATTCCGCGAATAATTCGTGGACACGACATCGGATTTTCAATTCTCATTAGAGCTAAATGCGAGGTCTCTCTCTCTTTCTCTTTCGATATATCGTCGATATGTTATATCTGTTTTACATTATCCTGTCTTTTAGTTCATTATAGAATCGTTTAAAGAAATGATATATCGCATCCATTCAAATTATATTTCAATTTAATCGGAAAACTTGGTATACAAGTGATATTAATTAAGTGGAGATATTGAATGAATGGTATGAGAGCTTTAGATAAACGTAATTTTTCAAAGATAAGTTAATAAACTTTCAATAAAACAAATGTTTGTTTTATTACATCTTCATTATTTCTCTGTTTTTTTATTAAATTTAAAATAATTATTAATTAAAAAAAATTATATG